GTGGGAGAGCCGGAGGGGCCGGGCAGGAACAGCCGGGTCGGGCCGGGCCGTTTCTGAGGGGGCGAGGCAGCGGCGGGCGGGAAAGTCGGGCGTTTGGGGCTGAGGTGCTGAGGGGACAGGGGGAGCCTGGCACTGGGGATGTTGGCGGGGGGTGGTTTAAGGATTTGGGGAGGGGGGTGCTGAGGAGGGTCAGGGATTTGGGGAGGGGGCTCGGGGGGGATAAGGATTTCGGGGGGGAGGGGATCAAAGATTTGGGGAGGGGGTGCTGGGGGAGCAGGAGAGCAAGGGTCAGTGGGGAGTGTTAGAGAAGTAGGCACTGGGAGAGGCGCTGGGGGACTGAGGGTTTGGGCCGGGGAGGGTGGGCAGCAGGCATTTGGGGAGGGTGTGCTGGGTGTTTGGGGGGGGTGAGGGGCTATCTGGCCCCCCACCCCCGGGCCAGAGGAGCAGCCTGGCCTCCTCTCTGAGGGGAGCCGGGAGCGCTTGGCACAGCGCGCCCTTCTCGTCTCTCGCCCAGGAGCCATGTGCACGTCCAGGCTCTTCACACTGGTCCTGGTGGTGCAGCCGCCCCGCGTCCTCCTGGGCATGAAGAAACGCGGGTTTGGAGCCGGGCTCTGGAACGGCTTCGGGGGAAAGGTGCAGCCGGGGGAGAGCATCGAGGAGGCAGCTCGCAGGTGAGGCCTGGTCCGGTTCGGCCGGTGCCCTTGGGAGAGGTGGGTATTGGGGCACAGGTTGGGCCGCAGAGGCGTTAGACCATTTGTGGTGGGCTGCAGGTGGAGTTACCGCAGCTCGGCTGGTCAGTAATGCCCTCGTAACCAGTGTGTTACCCACCAGTGCAGTCATGAGCCATCTCTGAACAGAGAAAATCGTCTGCTCCACAGGTGACGAGGGATCATCCACATGTACAAAGAAATGGGATTGCTCCCTGTTGTCTGTCACTCACGAATCTTTAACTGCTGTCCAGTCTACGAGTAACTGGAAGTTACCAAGTGTCCTCCCCACCTCCATGTCTCAGACTGATGAAACTGAGAGACTTAGTCTGCTAGTAGCGGGCGGAGGTTCTTGCACTGTTCAGAAAGGTGCAGAGTTTTAATTTTTGCTACAGAGCAGAATTGCAGCTTATGCCAATCTACTGCTTATTGTTTAAATTTTGCACCTGTTGAACAGACACTACCTTCCAGTAGCATTTTTAGTACTGCGTGAAAATGTTGTAACAAAATAGTAGAAATTCTTACGGATCCCTTATGAAAGGCACTGTTATTTGACTGCATGGTGGCATTTTTAAGCCCCAATGCTGAGTTAGGGAATCAAATTCCATCAATACAGAGGTACAGTACCGTTTTTGAAGCTTTTAGTACTGACTTCTTGAAGTTCTTTCTTCTGTCATTAAAATGAAATAGCAGAACACAGCTGAATTGCTAAACTCCTCTAAAAATTAGGTACCTTGTTCTTTACATGAATGTTGCTGATACAAAGCCATGCTTTGGCACCTCCTCACTTCCTGATACATGCCCAAATTTGCCCTCGCACCTGCAGGAAGATCAATGTTGGTGTGCTCAACAGCTACCTAACAGCTTTTGCCCTGAGACGTCTCCTCAGCTGTTGTGCCAGTGCAACCGCCTGGGTTCTGTGGTGAGCTAATCCAGGGGACAGAAGGGTCCTCTATGCAGATGTGCACCCAGCAGTGCACAGCATTAACGTATCTCATGCTTACATCATGGCTTTTCCTGTAATTTATCATCTCTAAGTGGAGGGAGGGAGATCGGTTTTGTTACTTAAATCAGGCCTTCATTTGCTAGGCTTACATTGCCACTGACTGTGGTGTAAATCTAATGATTTAATTTAGCATTTGATTTCCTAGGTGCGTGTTTACTTGCGCTAGCCCGCAGTTAGAAACCAGAGCTTTAGTCCATGCAAGACGTCAAGTAATGAAAGTTTCAGCAGTTCTCAGTGCAACATGCCACAGCACAGCCAGCGCCTGCTGCTGTGGACTGTGGAACAGTCCAATCCTCATCCCTTTCAATGTAGCTGGTAGGAGTTTGCTGCGGAATGACACAACCGATTCCTGCCGAGGTCAACTGAGCAGGAAACAGTCCCCAGAGCCAGCACACAGCCCACCTTCCTGGAGGGAACAACACAGACGCCGTTGAAGCACTGCCTCGGGTGCAGCTCTCCTCCAGGAAGTGTCACACAGTCCCAGTCAAACTTAACTGGCACCACCTCCGCTCTGTATTCGGAGTTAAGGTATTGGGCTGTGGTTCTGTGTTGCACTCAGTTGGGTTTGCAGTGGCATAAGGTGTGAAGTGTCCTCACAGCACAGATAGTTAACTATTAAGCTGAAACATGAACAGAAGTTTCCTGTATCAGCAAGATTTCTATCCTCTACTGGGTATGCCACACTCCTGTGAGCACCTGGGCACCCACAGCTCCTCTGTGGCACATGTTGTAAGGGGAGCATTTAGCTAGTCATTATTTCCAGTTTGCTACCTGTAATGTTTCCACTTACTATATACAGAGCCAGACAGCTGACAGATAAATTGCTTGGAGAACCATACCAGTGTTGTGCTTTGTTGTTCAATTATCACAGCCTCTAAAATGAAGCTTTTAGCTTTGTTGCTGGAAAACTGCCTCTATTTTAGACGTAGATAATTTCTCAAGAAGATAAACTAAAATTAGCTTAGACAGATTAAGCTGGAATATAATTTTGAAGGATGGGATCCATGAAATTGATGCCAAAGAAAGCTGGAGCCTTAAAGATCATTTCCATTATATTTTAAAATTGTTAAGTTACTGCCAAATGTGCAACTACAGCTACATTAATTATTAACCTTAGCTGAAGATACACTGCTTCAAAGTATTCCTTATTTTTGTATGTTAGAAAAACCATTACTAACTTCAAGCTATGCCGATTCTGCTAGAGGTAGGTAAAAATAAAAAAAGCCCTAAGTGCGTAGCATAAACAGAGCAAGTAATTGAATGTGCTTCAAGTAGCTGTGCATGGTGATGCATGGAAAAGAGCTGTCTGGCAAGTCTCTCAAAGTGCTCTTAAAAGTCTTGCCTTCTAGCGTCTCGTTATGCTAAGTGTACTTCCAAGGAGCAGAAATGGAAAGTTTACACAATTGCTTTGTGTTTTTATATGGCATTTGAACGGGAGATAGTATTCCTAACGTTCTGTGTGCAAATGATGTTGTGTAGTGCGTAGTGCTATTTAAATAAGCTTCAGTTAGTCTCAGAAGCACCTGATTTTGTAGCAAGTACAGATGTTCCAGTATTTATTACCTGCTTCCTCACAATTCTAAAAGCTTTGGCTTGAAGTTGGCAAGCCTTTTGCCTGTTTAAATGTGTCTCAGAGTTCTTAAGCCACATCCAGCTACAAGTCGTGTGAGTGTTAGCACACTTCTAACTAATGTCAGAAAAGATCACGTTGCAAGGAAATTATACTAAACAATTTTCCTGAATCTTCCCCTTTCAACATAGCTTATTTTCCTACCAGCCTTTAGGACCTTGTCATAACGCGGAAGCCAGCCTGACCTGGCTCCACTGCGGTGTAAGTAGGCTAACAGTTTGGTGCAAGCCAGAACTCTGCTTTGCTCTGTAGGCTGTGGCCGACTGTTTTACAGGTGCAACTTTCACTTTTGGTTCACTGGAAGTGTTTTGAATGTGCGAGTAAAGCTAATGACTGCTTTTTTGTTCTCCCGCTGCTCGCTTGCATGTAAAGAAGTCTATTTCTTGTGCAGGGAGCTCCTGGAGGAGAGTGGACTGACTGTGGATACCTTACAGAAGATGGGTCAGATCACATTTGAATTTGTAGGCAACTCTGAACTCATGGACGTTCACATTTTCCGAGCAGATCATTTTCATGGAGAGCCAACAGAAAGTGATGGTAGGTAGCTAGTGGAGGGGAAAGAAGGATGTGCATTCTCTTCTGAGACAGTATTGCTCTTAAGAAATGCAGAACTATTCATGCCAAAATCCCTTTGAGAAGGGAGGCAGCTGGGCTGTAGAGAGAAGCTGCTTGTTGACAGATATTCAAAGTCTAGGCAGCAAAAAACCAAGAGAAAGTCTCATGCAAAGTTCTTTTGTTTTCTCCCACCAGAAATGCGTCCACAGTGGTTTCAGCTGGATGAGGTGCCATTCAGTCACATGTGGGCAGATGATATCTACTGGTTTCCCCTGCTGCTTCAGAAAAAGCTGTTTCGTGGCTATTTTAAGTTCCAGGGACAAGACACTATCCTGGAGCACACCCTGAAAGAAGTGGAGGAAGTTTAAGAAAATGGAAGCATTCAATCCACATGCTGCTGCCCGCACTAGGCTAGAACACCATGAGCACTACTTAGAATGGTCTCCTTTCTCAACTCTCCATCAAAGGAGACTTATTTGCCAGGTCACTGAGAAGTAAGGAAAATAAGGGGGTTTCTTAGAGCAGAAATAAAAGTAACAAGATTTTCCATTCTGTGAAGTCCCTGGCTGTAGTATATTTAGCGGTTAGGTAATCACAATTATTAAAAACTTGGTGTTAACCCTTTTCTTCACAACTGGCCAATTGTTTAGGCTTTTCCCTCATGGCTGGAAATGTTTTTAAAAAATTAAAAATGTTTTTTAGTAAAAGCATGTGGTGTTCTCTTGTAAACTGCTGGCTACCTTCTAGACTGTTTAAGGACCTTTCAGGAGTTGGCTTCCTTTCACAGAAACATTAAGTGGACTGTGACGCAGCAGAATCAATTATCTTTTCTGTGCCAGTTTCTATAGAGTTCCCTATTCAGCATTACTTCCTGGGACAAAGTGAGGCTTGACCAGAGCTGTGGAAGCCTTTTGAGAAGTTTAGGTAGAGATCCCTCCAGGATTCTCCAGCTGAAGGCAGTGTAACATTATAGGAGTTAAGAAAACAAAAGTCAGAGGGAGATGTATGGCACTGTTTGAGCCCTGCCTTCACTCTTGCAGCTCCTGCCATGAACCTGAACTGTTTTGAGCGTTTCAGGTAAAGATACACTGAACAAAATCAACTTTCAGCAAGTCCATGTTGCAAAGTGCCATCACCTACAGCTGCAGGCTTTGCCACATGTCGGTAGCAGGTGACCTGTTCAGCATTCAGGTCAGCCCAACTCAGCAGGCCAGGCAGCAAAACCTTAATCAAACTGTGCTACAAATAACACATCACATATGTAACTTCTTATACAAGTTTTGGTTTTTTGGTGGTTTTTTTTTTTTTTTTAAACACTTTTACAAACACATATAACACTTACAGATAGAATCTTGGAATGTAATATAGGATCTGTAAACATTTCCAGTCTACCAGCTGTAGTAATAGTTCTTTAATTCCTGCATTTGGATAAAGTGCTTCATACATAAGGCTATTTGAGCAAAGCAAAGATACAGGATATTCCAGGCAGGCAAAATTCACGCCCTCTGAACAAGATTGTTTCTTGTCTCCCTCCAGCAGTTCTGAATATTTTATACCACTCAAAAATGCCCTTCTTCATATGCTCAGTAAGCCACAGCCTAGACTTGGAGTATAAGAGTTAATACCTTAGACTCTTTTACTTTTCCTTTTGTGCTGCACACTGAGTTATTTACAGAGTTTTTGATACTCACCTCTGCTTCTGACATAGTAGTAAGGGTTTCTGGCTGTTCTAATGGAAAGAATGGCTTGAGGCAAGTAGAGGAGAGAAAATAAGCACAAGGGGATAGGTAGCTTGTAACAGGATGTAAGACCTTACTGCATGGTAGGAAAGGGAGTGACTGGCAGCCAATACCTGTTATGTTATCTTGATTTATTTCCTGGTGGACACTGTAAATCGCATGGTGAGACAGAACAAATTACTTTCTGTTCCTCCAGGAGTTTAGGTAGGAAAAGAACAAGTGCAGCTGAGGCTTGCGCTTCTATTTGCTATCCCCTCTTCTGCAGTCAGTTCAATCCTTTTATAAAGATGTTTTCACCAGCACCGACCTTTAGGTCATGTCAAAGAGTAGTGATGTTATTGGTCCTGCTGCAGTTGCAGAGATTGACGTGTTTTAAGTAAGTTCTGTCCCCAGCTGGTGATCTTTGTCTTTTGGGAAACAGCACAAACCAAAGATTGTAAATTAGCCTGTTACAAATTCCAGGAATTACACCCTTATATGATCAAAGTAGAAGAGTAAAAGCACTGGAATGCAGCAAGGCACTGTTGAAAATGTAACAACTTGGGAGAAGCAACTTGCAAGGAAGATGGAAGGAGAGGGAAAGAAGCATCAAAGATTAAGGGTGTATTGTAAATACAGTTTGGAAAGCCTTTCAACACGATACTGGTCAAAAAGCCTGTATATTGCCACTTCACAGCCTGAAGCAGAGGAGACCTCAGGAGTGACAAAAACATATAGCCCTTTTGATAAAACAATTTTCAGGCAAAGTTTCAGGTTCTCAGCTATTTACTACCCTGGTACCTCCACAACAGATTTGACAGACACTGACAGAAAGACTGGAGGCCTTTTCTACCATTACTGTTTTGAACACATAATAGTCCCCGTGACCTCAAGCAATACATAGAAAGCTTCCATTCAAGAAGGCACGTTAACTCTTTGGTGCTACATCTTACAGGAGCATCAGTCCTTGGCTAGGCAGCATGCACTCTTCAATTAGTCTTCTGGTTTGCTTAGTGTTTACTGCAACCTACCCTGCTACCAGCAATGGAACCAACTTCATTAAGTCTTGTTCTCACCCTTGCATATAGCTAGGCTGTTTGCTGCAGAAGGGAATACCGTGGAGGTAACTACAACTGTTTCTCCTACATTGACTAGGGGAGACAGACAACTGAAGTGAACTTGATTGATTCCCTGCTGCATTCCTCTAGAGGAAGCAAGCCATACTTGATGCTGCTCTCCAAGTCTGACAGATCCCCAAACTAAACGACAAATACAGTAAGGAAATCCCTCACATATTGAGGTAAACATAATAGTGCTATTTGCACACTGACCAGTCTCCCAAAAATAAGGTTTGCAAACTAAGGGTTGTATGAAATAGTGTATGCGTGTATTTAGGAATGAGACAGAATCTTGACAGTCCAGTATGAAATAAACTCTGGAAGTGCCATTAGCTATATCAGCTTCGAGAATACCAGGCCTCTGTTCTCAAAATGCTAGGTGAACAGAGTAACATCAAAACAAGAAAACCCCATCCCCAAAACTGCTCTCCTCAAAGAGGCAAGGGCTGACAATGGAGGAATGAGTGTTTTCTCAAAACAACGTAATTCCAGTTTCTTTACAGGTCATCTGGTCTGTGGTTATCATTATTACAGTCTCTGCATTTGGACTGTAGAATACTTGCTTTGAAGGAGAACAGGAAAGAGGGTTAGTCTAAAGCCCAAATGTGGTTTTGATGTTTGGTTTTTTGTTTTTAAATAAAGCCCAAAATTGTAACTTTTTTCTAAAGTGAGAAGTGCAAAGTTCCCTTCCGGCTAATACTTTGCAAGTGCTCCTGCAGAACACAGGCCAGTCATCTATCCCAGCCAGACAAGTTACGCAGAAGATCCATCATGTAGGTATTACATCTTGCCCCAAAACATTCAGTATTTTCTTAACTTGACGGTTCACTGCATCAGGCAAACAAGGCTAAATGAGGGAGGATGGGTACTAGGAGTAAGAAAATGATAGGCCGTAACCAGCCAGCACCTTCTAAAGATGCTAGGAGTGAAGAGTGTTTAAAAATATGGTGACATGCTTTCCGCACTTTAACCACAAACTATCTTCCTAATCAAGACAAGGTCAAGCAGAAAAACCTTTTGTGCCATTCTTGAGATAGTATATTCTTTGTTACTGTACTGTAGAAACATTTCCCTCCTCAGCCAGTTTGCTCTGGCTTGTGAGCAGAATCTCTTCTGCATCACTTTGGCAATCTTCAGGAGAGAGAATCAAATCTGTCACAGCCATCTGCAGTTAATCTGTCTCACTGGACAAGGCCAATACGCAGGAGGAAAGACTCAGAAGAGAGTTAACATTTGAATTGCTATAATAAGCTCTTAACAATGCATTCTGAGCAAGGTTGTTAAACAAGACACCCTACACACTCCTTAAGGCCCAGCACCCAAGAAATTCACCCACGTAAGTGCACTTCCCCACATTTTGAGGGGTGTGTGTAATGGTTATACCCGTCTCATGAAACTGGGCAAGTAACATTATCTTGCTCCTATCTGAAGAAACTAACCCATAATTTCCACCTAGACTAGGAAGTTCATGTTGCACTGAATTTTCTAAATTAATTAAAAAAAAAAAAAAAGAAAAAAGCTGTTGTGATTGGAGGATTTAAATATACTTCCTGCTAACGGGGAAGCTCCTAATGGGAAAATACTGTAACAGTTCCAGTTTGACAGCGAGCACTCATCCTTCTTAATATGCTTCCTTTTTACCCACTCAAGAAAATGCTAAGAAAACAAGTTTCAAATTGCCCTCTGGCAGCTATTTTGGCCCCACAGAAGTTAGGTTCAGGGCAGTCCTGTTCATGTAGAGTTTTGTTGCATATGTTTGCAGTTTGTTCAATTATCAGTTTCTCTGGAGGATATGCACAATTTCCCCTAAGGTAACGTGACATGCAATTTCTCCTCCCCCTACCCTTTGCCTTGTGAGGGAAAGTCACCAGAGATACAAAGTGAAACATGGAGAATGTTTAGTCCCTTTATCACAATCACAAATCATTCTGAAAACCCCATTACCAAGCACCATGCTATTTTTTGAGAGATAGAGAACTGTCACTTTTTTGTCTTCTCTCCTTCACAAATACACTCCAACGCTACCCACAGCCAGAAAAAAAAAAAAAAAAAAAAAGACAGTAACATCCTGATAAATACTGACTTTTTTGCTAATGAACTTTATCAACATTGTGTCCCAGCCTGCTGGTGTAACAGGATAGTCTGATATTAGACCAAAGAAAACACCAGCCTTTGGGTCAGCAGCTCTCCAATAGTCCCAAACAGCTACTAAACAGATTGATGTCAGAACCTCCAGAAGACAATAAACAAGCTACCTTGTAGCTGTTCTGCTCATGAGTGGTTTACAATTAAGGAGTGTTTTATTCAATTATGTTCTCATTTATGCCAGGCAAACTCAGACTCTGAGTTCCTAAACCTAGTTGGTCTTTGGCCCCAAACTGAAAAATATGAGCAAGTCCCTAGGCTGCCCTGCAACCGTGAACTGAAACACAGTGACGATACAGTCTGCCTAGCCTCACCAGGAAAATTATTGTCACGCAGCAGCACTAACCCCTACCCAGCTGGGTTAGTGACTCCAACCACTTCATTCACTTATTTTGTGCTAAAGTTTACCAGTAAGAAATCAAATCCAGACACCTATCAATGGGACAGCTTTCAGCTTTCCTTATGCACATATGCCCCTAACACAGGTCCTCCCAAGCTTAAAAGGTAATCCATCTCTACCACAAGCCAGTGCTTCACATATCCTGTTCATCTCAGCACTTCAGAGATGCACAGAGATGCGTCAGCATGTGTGCAGATAAACATTACTGGAGGACTGTTAGTACAAGATGCAGAGGCATCAGCAACAACACTGCAGCACTCACTGCACCAGGTCACACCCTGACCCCACGAAGAGTGTCTGCAAGATAACGAACATCAGCCCTGCCCCAGAGCATTTCAAAATTAAGAGATTGTCTTTGTATCTGTATGTTCTGCCCCACATCCAGTCTGTCTAAATCAGAGAGCAGCTCAAAGCAGCGGAATTAAAAAATAAAAAAAAAAAAATAGCTGTTTGGAGGATTCATTCTAACATCTGGAGGTAGAGGTCCCACCCCTTCCTTGATTGCACTTCTTGCTCCATGCTAGATGCTCAGGGCATTAATTGGAGAAGAAGTTTCCCTCTGGAGGTGACAATGGTGGAGTTGGCATATTGCTAGATCCCACAAAAAGGCAGCTCAACTTCGGCTTCAATTCATTCCAAACTTTACTCATCTGTGAGTAGAAAAGGAGAGAAAACAGACATGACAACACGGTAGGCAATCACCTCACCACACTGTATTTTGGCAACAGTTTCAGAGTACTCAAAAGCACAACATAAATTTGCTGAAGTACTTTGGGAAAGTCCAGCGGACCCAGATTGTCCCTTTCAGACTGGTACTATAATGCAGCTCTCTGAACATTTTACTGAGCATGCATGGAAGGGAGATTTCCCATACCTTCGTCAAATTCCTTCACTGCAGGGAAGGAAAGGAGCTGAAGGAGGAGAGACCTTTCTAATATAAAGAATGCAAGAAAGTCTGTATGTGGGGAATGCTGAAGGTCGTATTTAGGGGTTAACAAAAAGGAGCTCTTGAATTTAGAGCAAAAACAAGGAAGTTGTTCCTTGTCATATAATTTCTGTGTAGCACAACAAAAACCACATTCACCTAGCAAACTCACATCATTCATTACAGGATAGCTAGTTATTTAAAGGTTGGGTCTTCTTCAACTGCCTCTAGGGTAAGGCCAGCTGCAGATGAGAGAAGAAAAAAAGAAAAACACAGCAACTTGCTGCAAGAAGATACAGTCTTTTAGAGAGGTTAGAGGCCAGCCTTGATCCTCACCCCAAATTGGAAAGACCTTAGATGACTTCTTAAGAAGTTATGAAAGAACGCAGCAGGACAAATGATTAAAGAAGGATGGCCCACAGGTGAAAACAAATACATTCGAATTCCTACTCATATTTTGGGAAAAAGAATGCAGTCCAGAAGAACTCACCTCTTTGTGACCCTGGATCTGGGAGTTGACAAAGGCCCCCAAAATGTGAGACGTGAGAGGCAGATAGATGTGGATAAGCTGTGTCTCCTGATGCAGGCAATACAGAGAGAAGTAATTCCGCAGCTCCATGGTTAGGATAGCATTTTCTTGCTGAAAGAAGAGGAATTCAGTTAAATACATTGCCAGGAAGAGGGTGCCAAGGAGGTTCACTTGCAGCAGGAGAAAACAGCATTCCTCACCATACTAGCAATTCAAACACATACCAAAAACGTAAAAAGGCAGTTCCTGGACCAATTTGATATGTCAGCAACTGCACTTTCCATCATGCAGACTGCTGCTTTCCACAGCTCCTGCAAATGACATGTTACCAAAGAGCCAGTAATAAGTGTTGAGGAAAACAAACACGTTTTCCATGTAGCACAGCAAGCAGCTCAAATTACCCAAAGCACAGGTTACCTTTTCAGTCTAATGGCTTTCTGCAAATATGAGTGAACTACATAGCGGCACCATTATAGGAGTCCAGTACCACCCTTTGCTCTCCCAGGCATCTGCCCTACCTCCACAATCCGAGACTCCAATTGCTCCACCGATTCCGGTTCTTTGTTCTGCACAGTGGCACTCATCATCTGCTTCTTCATCATGCTGTACTTATGCAATGCTCGCTGGTGCTTGTGCAATACTCCCTTCTCATGTCTTTCACACAGGTCCTTTATGTGAAAAGGAAAAAAACAGGTACTCAACGGAAGCTAAGAGACAGCAAGCACACAAGCCAAGTACATCAGGAACACAAACACAGGGTCACGCTTTATGTAATTTCTATGCTGCAGATTTTTGTTTCTTTGTTTTCAAGAAGGTCAGAAAAATGTTGGCAGCTAAGAATTCAAGAAACAAAACTGCTTGGACCCAGACCAGTGAGCTTAAGAGGCAATCTGGAGCATCACTTCTGCCAACATTTTGGATCTTATCAGGCCTCTTATCTTTTGTGCACTTCTCATTATTAAGTGCTGGCAATTAACTGTGGTAAGAGCTTGCCAGTGTCCTTCTATTTCAGTCCAGGCATGGGAACGTCAAGAAAGGCTGCCACATACAGTTTCACTAGGTGCTTCTAAAAAAAAGTGCCTTTGACCAAAACATTAGTATTAACAAAAATTCTTCCATTTTAACTGAACTCATGTCTCCATGAACAAAGTAGCAGCAATCTAATTCACCACTTCGACTCAAAAGCAACCAAATCTGGAAAAAAAGTTAGCTGATCCATATAGTTCAAGCAGTCATATTTTTAAATTCCTTGCAGGGTTTGCCGTTTGGCAAGTTCTCGAGACAAGATGAGCTGACCAGTACAGCTACAGAGCTAGCTACGGCCAACAGCCACTCCACTCCCTCTGCCAGATGCCCAGTTTGCCTCTGAACTGGCCTCCCAGACAGTTTTCCATCCAGTTGGCGTTACACCCTCTGAAGAGCACAAGCTTGCTCTAAACAACTTTCTCACTGGCAGAAAAACAGCAGAGCTCACTTTATAGGACTGGAGTAAATCCAGGAAAAGGTTCAGCTTCTCCACCACATCATTCTCTTCCTGTTTACCCTAGAAAACAAGGAAAAAGTACATTTTATGTAAGCCTGGCAAGAACCGACATCACAGTTCTTCACATCCTTACACCATGCAGGCCTTCCACTGTATTCTCCAGGGCACATCAACGCTTACACAACTGCATCAAAAATCTTTCAGATGGCACTTGAGTGTTTAGTCTTCAGTAATGCAGAACAAAGACCTGACTAGAGCAGGAACAGCTTTTCCAATTGAGTGATCATTATAACAAGAGGAGTTGGTTTTACAGTCCTGTGTCAGTCCTTTCAGCTCTCTCTGCCTGAATTTCTTGCTCTTGCAGATTCCTCCAATCTTTCACTTTCCCTTATTACAAGATAACTAATCCATTAAAGCTATGAATACCTGCATGTTCCCCATAATAGTTCGTGCATCAGAAGGCAGAGATGAAACACCAAGCCACATTTCACTACTTGTTTTTTTATTTTGCTAAATACTATCTTTTCTTCCTGTATCAATAGCACTTCCTGGAGCATAAACTCTGGAGAAAGAAACCTGGTCTGACTGATCTATAAAAGCATGCTGAGTATTTTAACACAATGAGATGAAGAGAAGCGAAGACAAAGCTATTACTTTTCCTTCCCAGACTGTCATGTTCTCACATTATTCTAACAGTCATTATCACACTGCACACTTACAAAGGAATATGATACTTCTGTCTAAATGACTCTCACGTAATGTTTAAGTACATGAATGTCAAAATTTGATTCAGAAATAATTTCTTCTGGATTCTCTGTAGCAGATTAACAAGACAGAACGCAGGACTTTCGGACAGTTCAGTATAGTCGTACAACTTAACTTGTCCAATAACCATTTGAAATTAAAAAAGAAAGTGGGCTTTTCCCTCCTTCCCCTTGCCCACTGTGTTTTTTCCCCATTTAAACACAGTCGGTTTTTTTATTCAAGCTTGAACAAGCAGGCTGGTGGCCGAGGATGCAAGTTTGGACCACCATCTCCGTCTTAACTCTTTAAGTACCTATGTCCACAGAGCTTATGATTCAAGATGAAACTTAAGGCAGTAGTGCACCTCCTTCATTTTACAAAAAGAAAAAAAAAACAGAAAAAAAGTAAAGAACTCACCTGCTGCACAGCCTTATCTGCCAGAAGTGCAAATTCAACTGACAGACCCTTCAAGGCTTGTTTCAGAGTCCCCCATGTGCTATTATTCAAAGCAGCCCAGGAAGGAAGCGGTGTAGTGTCTGAGCCCAAAGCACTAGGGAGGAGATAAGTAGTATTCAAATCTAGGAGACAAATTCCACTAAGTAGATACACTTATTTGCAGAGAGCAGTTCAGAGTTTCTAATCTGTCTAAATTGCTTGCAGTGCTGAGCTACTACTGAACAATCACAAATGCAGAGCTGTGTATATACTGGGGGAAGAGACAATAAAACCAGTACCTGAATGTCAAGGTACTTGCATTTTCTTTTTTCTTGCTCTATGGAACGCAACCTTAGTGGAAAGCATGCATTTTCTTCTTTTATAGTAGGAAAAATTTTATTATGACCTACAGCATGCATTGAAATACCCACTCTTACCAGACCATGCAGGTAAACCTTACAACAGTTCTGAGTTCTGAAACAACAGTAGAAACATTCACATTAACAAATCCTCTTCCTCCCAACCTACCTTAGCTCCTTTCCAAATATGAGGAGATCTGAGGCATTATCAATGGCTCGAGAAGCTATCCTCTCTGCACGGTCCCGAAGCTTATAAAAGCTATTATAAATATTTCTGATGAGCTCCCTGCTGGCAGCAAACTGGGCCTGTATGTCAGCTGGAAGGAAGTCCTGAAGAAGTGCGAGAGAGGTTACTAGTGGACAAATCAGAGGCACATTCACATACGTTAATTGTGGGCACATCATATAGTCAGGAGAGAGAGACAGATTTCCCTCTTGTGCTTGCTCTCTCATGCCATGCTGTAACAACCCTGAAGAGATGAGCTTCATAATTTAGGTGTCCAAGTCAGATGTCATACAAATACCCCTAATTTTCAGAGGCAGGAAGAGGTTCAAATACCGGGTGTAGACAGAGTTGGCAAAATCTGCAATTCTACTATGCAGTTAAAATGGGGTTTGTGAGGTTTCAAGCTCACTGGTTCTGATCCGATGCTACTAGTAACTGCCAGCCTGGCAAAGTCAAGCATGTACTGAAAGTTCAGCTCTTTTTGACCTGTGTATCACTGGTAAAAGCCTGAATTAAGCTCCAGTTGCAAAACCTTCTGCTAGCATTGCAGAAACCTGAACAACAACTTGCTTTAAAATTGCTCAATGAACACAGTGAATGTATATTTGAAACTTGCCATAGCACTAATCACTGGGATAAGCAAATATATGGAGAACTTTTAACTAACTTCTCTATAACAGACCAAAGTATTCTCCCACAGGAAGAGGAGAACAGACAGAATGAGAGCATGAAAACATGGCGAAGACATCAATCTAGATATTAGCTTTTAAATTGTGCAGTATGTGCATTTGTTTGTTGTGCAAGTAATTACTGAGAAACAAGTTCTGAGCAGGATTCATTGTTTAATCTTTATCATATTCATGAACAAGCACTTATCTAGAAATATCAGGCCCTTAAGAGTCAAATATTTATTTGATCTTTTCAATAAAGTTACAAGTTTAGAAGTCCTTCAAACTTTGGAAACAGCTCTCTCCTACCCAAGGTCTCCATCACTCAACGAACGCCGTAACTGATCCACCTGGAGCAGAGAGCCATTTAAACCAGAATAATATGTTGCAAGAAATTTGTATACATACCTTGGCCTGGGTAGCTAATCTGCAGGTCATAAATTCATCTCCTACTCCCTGGACCAACTCTCTTAGCTTATTCTGTACATCCTGGAGAAGACACAGAATGAAATGAGCATGAAAGAACTAAGTAACACACAGGCAGTTCACACAGGTCTCCGATATGTTGCAATAGTAAGGCACAACTTAGCAGATACAGTTTTACCCAGGTTAGGTTTAATTTAAGGAAAAGCATAATATGTATTCCACTAAGAACAGTTATAATTTCCAAAACACTATGCTCCTCGCACTGAATGAAATTACCTTCCACTTTCCAGCTGTAGAAATACCTACTGAGAGAAAATTCTCATCATGGGGAGCAACAATGTGTAGGCCAAAAGCAATTCTGAACTCTGTGCCCAGCGAAGCAGTTACAGGAAGGTATACAAACTCATGACTATTGCTAATAAGTACTCACTGAGCCACTGAACGACAGGAAGAGTTTCAAGAGCACATCTTCCGAGAAAGGGGGATGTCGAGCCACCAGGTTTATAAAACGCTTCAGTGCTCTCCTCCTAGATTCTATGAATTCTCGATCAGCTACAGGAAGAAACATTAAATTTCAATTAATGCACCACACATTACAGCTGCTCAGAAAGAGAAAAAAGAAAGCACTCAGTCCAGCAATTTCTTTGTACTTAACAACCCTTGCTAAAGCACTGCAACCAAACCAAAAAACTGTTACCTATAGTCTGTCAGATCCCTAAAACAATCTTTTGGATTGACCACCAGAACAAATATTCCTTCAAGTGGTTCTTTACATCTTACTGAAATCCAGCAGATATATATCTATGTGTGGTTATTTCCACAGGGTGGGTCAGATAAGCAGGATAAACAACCAAGTCTACGGCCTGAAGCCTCCACTTACAAACTGTGGGCATACAAAAATTCTTCTTCCTCTGAATCAATTCCACAGCTGGTCCCCAGAGGGGATCTCAGTCTGTTTGGGACTCCTGGGAAATGCAGCACAACACACTGCTTCTTGCCACTGCTAAGATCACTGCCACATGCAAAGTGATCATCCCACAAATAATAATGGGGTTTTTGCTCACTATTCTGAAGAACTAGCTTCAGTGTGCTGTACCTTCATCTGTCCCTCCTCCTCTCTTTTAAGCATTTTGGGTCTAGAGGGAGAATAAAGGGGGTTTTTTTCAGTTGTTTGTTCAAGATCAGTACCCATCTTTTTCATGCAGTATGTCAGAAAGTACTTTGGAAGACCTGCACAGCAATCTGCAGTACATCCATCCAGAATCCTTACTTGTCAAACTAAAGAAGTTCCGTTCATCTCCCTGAAACAGGAAGAATTTCAATCTGGCAATACTGCAGTGAGGCAGTAAATCAAAGTTCCTGGAGTTTTTCAGGAAAGATGAAAAATTCAACTAAAATAAGACTGAAGGAAAAGAAAGCAGCACAGAACGAAATTAAAGGAATGCACTTAATCCATGACAACACTCTCATATCATGAAAGGGTATTACTCTTTTGTCTCAATTTTAAGTTGGGAGTTTGCTGGCTGCATGGACTCTCTATAATAATCCTTAGTACAGTATCACCCATCAAATGATTCTTCTGTCATTAGGGTTGCAGTTGATTTTGCTTTGTTCATACTTTAGCCTACATGGAGATCCCTGTAGTCATCTACACACTTCCTATATGATCTGTCTCAGTTTGCTGCTATCCTCCAAAAAGAGCAGAGCAGATAATCAATCTTTCTTCATCTGACAGATGGATGAAAGTAGACCATCATGAAAATAAGGGTGTAACTTAGTAGAGGAGCATACCAAGTATAAAAAACATGTAGCTTTGCTCATCCGGCTCTGGGACTAAGGAGGTTGCAAGAGTCACACATCTATACCAATCCATCAAATCCTGTGTCCTGCAGTTCCATTTGTTAGTCCATTAACCTACTCAGAAACAAGAACTACCCATTCCATTTCCTTTTTCCTGTTTGTAGTTTTTATTAAGACCACTTACACAGCTTTTCTCTATGCAGAGTCACTAGACTAAAGGCAATCATCACTCTCTGCCTTAACACAGTTTTGGACTGTACTTCTAGCATAGTTTGGGAACTAATCCTATCAGTTTTTTCTTAAACATATGATATCTGTGGGAAGAAATGCACAGTTGAATGCACAGAAATAACACCACACTGGCAATGCAAGGAAATAACAGTGACTGACAAATGATGTATTTTGGTAGTTTCTTTCAAGCATCCTCTCTCCACTGAGATTAACCACAGAAGGTCACTTCACTTACAGGTGTTGCATGAAGTGGAAATTCTGGAAATTCTGGCTGAGAACACTGAAACAGGTCAAATTCAACAGACAGGTTTTCGCAACCCCAAAAGAAAGGTCTTCACAATTTACATTCCATCATAAGAATATATGACCACTGAAGCTTTTCAGCACTATTATTTTGCTTTGTTCCCGTTCACTATACACCCCGCTCCACTCACTGTTTACCAATTCCTCTTTACTGTAGCAATACATGGACTCCTTAACTGAAATCAATTATTTATTGAAAACACAGTAAGCTTAGCAGCATGGGCAGGAGACAAGACAGTGAAAAGGTTGTTCTCTCACAGATAAAGTATAAAACAAGACAGGATTTTATACAGTTATGCAACATTTGAAATAATCAAATTTTAAAACCAGTGCCAATATTTCAGATTAGTGAAAAATGTACCTGAAGGAGCTTTGATATGCTTTCAGTCTTGGGATACTTCATTGGTTTCTATTCTAATAGCTAAAATGTATTTGAATGAACTGTCACTCTGATTCCAGCCTCAGTTTTCAGTTTCTGATTATCCTAAGCAGATCAACAAGCTCCTTCTTAGAACAGGGCGGGGGGGGGAAGGGCTACTTTTTTTTATAGCTACTTTAAGGCATTTGGTTCATCTGCCAGAAAGACACCGTTTTGTACATAAACCGAGAAAGTGTAATTGCCATTGCCTGCATCCTATGGCTTCTGTGCAAGGTAATACTATAGCAGGCAGTGCTGAAGCTGTTTACTTAACATGACTGTTCACTAGTCCTTTTTAGGTGTGTGTGAAGTTAGGACCCTACAATAACGCAACAGGATCAATCAAGTATGCTCTCACTGGAGAAGCAATTTTGCTGGTTTTACATAATCAGCTCCTCTGCAGGTTTAAGCCTTTTAATATGATTTTTTAATTTTTTTTTTAATCTTTACTCTTCCCTCACTATAGAAAAACAATGGGATTTTCACAAATCTTTTCTATTCTGAACACTTCACAAAACAACACACTACAATACATACTACAGATGTTCAACAGTATGGTAGCGAGTCTACACTCATAGCCCTACAGCACTGACTATCATAGCCTATTTTCCTAAAAAACAATACCTGCAACTCTGCCATGCTTTTGGACTTTTGGAATGAGAATTATGCCTCAAATCTTACCAAAAAAAGTCATGTGATACTGAACTTCCACGGGAAGAAACTCCACTGAAATTTTACATTAATATCTTACCTATAGGGAATTTCTAGGATGGCAGTAATTCACACCTCCAAATTGTGTATTATAACCTCAAAGTTGTTTTCTAAGCCAAGCAGAAGCAATGACTTTCGATCTTTTAAACATTCATTTTCAACAGTATCACCTTAACCATGCTTGCACGGTGACCCCTTCAGTCAAAAGAAAGACCTAGGTTTACCTCCCAGCATCCTCTTTGGTGGAAGTGCTGGCACCATACGATATGGGAACTTCTGAAGCAGCATCTCATGGAACACCACAAAATCATTATATCGCCTGTAGACTGAGCATTTGAATCTCTGCAATTAAGGAAGCGGGGAGAATAAATCAATACACAGGCTGGACAAAAAAGAAGAAAATCAGCAGCATTTCCATCTTTTTTTTTTTGCTATTAGCTGCACTAAAACAAAAGGAAGAAAGAAATCACATCCACAGACTGCAGAAACAACATATTTCTTTTCTTTAGATGCCTTGTGGTGGGAAGGAGAGAGAAGACTCCAAAGGCAGCCACCTTTCAATTATGAACAGAGATGGCATTCTTCTAACTACAGTCCTTTTGAGAATAAGATTTTCAGTTAAAAACATAAGTCAGATTTCATTCACACACAAGATGAAAAAGACTATGAAATGGAGAGGAAGAGGTTTCCCAAAAAATTACAAGTATCGCTAAATATGCCGTGGTTCCATACCATTACTCCCTCAAACTCTCTGGTCCTCCAAATTAGACAAAATATTTAGAAATAGTGCCCACACTCTTAAAGTGCTCTACAGAGCTCTTTTCTTGAAGTACGGCAAGTCCCTGAGCTCTACCTATTAGGAACTTTCTCTGAATCAGTTTCAAATCCAGAGGTGGCAAAACAGTCTTAGATCATGTTAAGTATTAGCCCAAATGACTGATGCTTTAAGTGAACCTCACAAGAGAAAGAGAGACCTCTCACTGATGTTAGATCTATAAACAAAGATTGAAAGTTCCTTTAAAGCCTTAGTCCTTCACTCTGCATTTCCAGATCAATATGAAGAAGAGGCCAAAGAAACTGGGTTTTTTCATTCCAAAAGGAGTTAGGTAGCAGCTAGAATAAGACACTTAGGAGGCAGAAATCCTTTACAAATAATAAATAAATAAACAAACAAACCAGAAACCCCCCCATACTTTTACTACAGATTCAACTACTGGAGCAGCTAATAAGAAAGACTACATAACACTATACTCATTCTCACTACATTTGTATTGCACATCATCCACCGCTTATTGTGGCACTATGCATTTTCAAAAATAAAGCAATGAGGCATAAAACTGGAGCGCAACGGACACAGCCCCTAGTGCCTCCCTCTGCCTGCTTTGAAATTTGATGTTGATTTGTGCTGCAGATCTTAGATGAAGCTCAAGGCCAAGCTATGCTTCTTTTTGAGGAAGTATCATTCTACAGCTACAACCATAGGAGAGATGACAGCAACTGAAAGGAATCGGTAATAGGTTCCTGAATTCAAAATCTAGAGAGACCACCAGGGTCACTGAGTCCAGTGCCCTGAAATCACAGGCAAAAATAAACATTGAGTCCTTGAAACCCCACAGAAGCATTCACTGTGCCTGCCCTTTCCCCATTACAACAGTCTTTGACAAACTTATTAACACCTAAAGCCCCAAACGTCACTACAGACAAGTGACCCAAAAGTGTCTCTGAATACGTACAACAGTGACTACAACAGCTTGAGCACTACTCAATAACTGATGTTTTGGTGGCCTGGGAGATGTAAATTGCTCATGGTCTACTTTGAAGAGGACAGATTTCCATCTTGAAAAAACACACAGAAGCTACTGGAGAGCTATTTCACTGGCCGCTCTATAAAAAGAAAAAGATATTCATCTTCAATCTTCTTTTATACCGAGAGAGGAACCTACAGGTCAGGATTGGGGCAAGTAAACTGGAAGTGGCCTAGACTCTGCAGAAGGATTTGCAGTACCTTTTCTGCTTATAAAGGATTTCAGTTTAGCACTGCCAATACAATTTCTTCACTAGCTCAAAATAGTTTGAAATATCCAGTCACCTACACCAATCCGTTATGAAAACATTCAGTTTTTGATGTTATACATCTGCTTTTATACAGAGCTCAGGTTTCAAGCAAGTAAACTAACAGGCCATCCATCAGACCTGAGTTAGAAGATGCTCCATACTGCAGAAGCCCAGGTCAAGAAAGCATAGTGCTACTGCATTAAGAGAAAGCCCATACAACTGGCCTACTCAAAACCAGCATCACCCAACACATCTATCAAATTAGTCAAGACTTTGCCAACAGCAACTGCACAGACATTCTTAAGAGGATACATTCTCACTAAGACAAATGCTTGTTCACATTACCTTGCTGGAAACCTCGTATTCCACATGTTTCAGAAAAAGCCCCTTCTTCTCAGGTATAAGCTCCACCTGCACACTATCCTTGCTCAATAGCTCTTGTAGGGTGTGGGAAAGCAGCAGTGGATTTCCCTGGGGCGCCTGCATTAGAAACTGTTCTGGTTCCCTCGGTTCATTTACTGGAGGCTTTGCCAAATCTAAAAGACAAAAAGGGAAAAACAGTCCAGTAGACCTGATAAGATAAAGAAGTAGCCTTAAAATATTCTGTTCCTTTGCTTGGTGCTCCCACAGTGGTGCAACACTACCAGAACAGTCAAGCCACTCCCACAGGAGCCTATGCTACTTCGCACACGTTCAAGACATTGGTACCTCCCTCTTCGCAACACCCAGGAGCACCACCAATTATACCGAGTCAGAAAGACATCTCTACTAAGCAAAAGAAGAATCACAGGCCAAATTTGTTCTGTGAATCAGCTAAGAGGCCTGCATTTCCTGTCTGTCCAGCTCCCACCACAGCAGGATCTGCCAAAATGAACGAAACCCTAGCTCAGCACTTTTGGATCCTGCCTAGAACAACTCATGGAAGGAAAAAAAATGTGTTATTTTACTGCGCTGCAGAAATTTAATACATTAATTTTACATGTCATTACAAAGGAAGGAGACACTTCATTTGACTTAATTTTACTAAACTCTGTGGCAGTATGCTAGAGTGGGTGTGAATTAAAATAATTTACTATGCCAATATGTTTAAGTTCAAAAGCAGGGGAAAAAGGTTCCTAATAAGGGCTACCAACCCAACAATTCCTCAATCACAGCAAGCTCCAGCAAAATCTTTCAAATATACCTATTCCACTGCTTGTAGCTAAAAAACAAACAGCTTTTCACAGTGAATTCAACCACAGCTGGACAGCTTTGGACAGAGAGATTCTAACTGATTCTCAGCCAGATGCAAAAGTGAAAAAAGATGGCTCTTAAGAATATGGCCCTGGAGAACTAACTACATCGAAGAAGGGGCAAAGATGATGACTCACAGTACTCTCTTATCGAATGACTGACTGCAGTCCATTATCTCAACTTGACTTCAAAACGACACGTATTATGCGACTGTAAACTAAGCCTGCTTTGTTTTTCAACTTTTCTCCACTTTTTCTCTACTCATTTCACACATAAGAAATAGGGTGCAAAATGTGGATATAACCCTGGAATCTATTCAGTCTATACCTGAGTTCTGTTCTCCAGTATGGAACGGATGGGCTGCTTCCTCTCTGTGTATGTCTGTTTAACAGGGATACTGCAAGCAAGCTCTTTTACAAAGCAATTCGAATCCACTGATGAAAAGTGACCTAGAAAAGCTAGGCAGTATTAATTATCCCTTCCTTACCATTGTGCAGAAGTTACATCCCTTCTTAAACATATCAAAAATTTTGAGAACACAAAAAGACAGTAACACTATAGAAGCAAGAACCATTTCTTTAAGCTTTGATACATAGTTCAAAAAGTTGATAACTGTGTAAAAGATTAACTCAGGGAAGATAGATAAGAACCATTTCTTTAACTGAAAGCCCTGGTAAGGATTTCCCACCTGTTCCTTCATATGCTCTAGGCGCTGATAAATGGGGAAAACAGGTAATCTCCAATTCCTCATATACACAGCTTCAGAATAGTCACTTCATTCTTCGTTCCATAAAACAGCTTAAGGAAACCAAACCAAATCCAGGACAAATGACCTTATCCCACATTTCATCAGGCTTCAGATTCCTGCTAATGTGACTCAGAGAAGCAAGTCTTAACACCTCTGCTTTAATAGACTTATGTATCACCTACTAACCCCACCTACGTTGCAGCTTCTAAAAAGTTCCAGCTACCTGCCAGAAATTTGTGGTAAGATAATGCAAGCTAATTCAATGTTGACATGGGATACTGCTGGATAAAGTGATAACATATCTGTATAGCCACTTTTCAGATAGATACTGAACTGAAAAGGAAAGAAAATTCTGAATACAGATAGCAAGGCAAAAGATTTTCTAGTGTAGGAAAATCCTTGCCCACCTGACCTTTCATGGGGCAGCAAGGTATAATAAACCACACTATCAAGAGTAAGTGTCAAAAATACACACAAAAAGAACTATGGAAAGCACAAGACAGCCTTGCTCTCCAGAGCAGCGGTTCTCTGGGTGCACACCCTTGTAATTCTTGGTTTTAATTGCTCAAGACACATCAGTGAAATGCAACATGACACAGGAGGTTTTGTTACTCCTCCAGTGAACGCACACACACACACACTTACACAGAATTTCACACTCCTCTGTGACGCTAAACCACTGGCTCACATTGCAGAGGCAGTCACTGCAAGCCAGCCTCCCAAAGAGGGGGAGCCAAAATGCAACCCACCTATTTCCCTGAGAGCAGTGCCAATCTGTACTAATACAACACTCCTCCTGCCTATTGATTCACTCTCCCTGCTTTCTATCTTTCTGTTGGCCAATGGACAAAGTGGGGCTTTCATGGCACAAACTGTTCCCTAAACTGGGGCTCAGCACTGTCTGATCAACTACCGAAACTCCCAGTGGCAAAAGACAGTATCAGGAGAAAAGATTTATAGGATGAACCATGAATCCTTCAGTATTTCATCTGTAAGTCCTGGAACCTGCAGCATGATCAGCCAAACTGATGTTAAGAAGGACTCTCAGACTCACTACAGTGATCTGAACCCACATTACCCCGTAAAGCAACTGCAGAGTGAAGGCCCACAGAGAGATCTAGACAAGACTCGGCAGTCCTTTGACAACTCGGTCATGCTGCTCTTTTCATTTATAATACTTTGCCAATTTTCATCGTTATTCTCTAAATTTGCTTTCCAAAATTCACCTACAGGAAATACTTTCTCTTTATCAGCAGTTCACACACTTGGCTCTTCCTGAAATATTTTGTAGCTTCTTTAGATCTCAAGCTTGTCTAAATGTGTAAAATCATACCAATCAGACAACCATACAAACAAGTTTGAATAATTACTGTTTAATTAATAATCTCAGAGTGTTCCCTGTCAACAAGACAGCTACTCAGAGTGAATTTACACCCTCAAACATTGGTCTGAGAAGACAGTAAGATGATTTTGGAACAGCTGTTAACCAGTTTTAGAAAACAGTTATCGCGGCATTAACACTAACCCTGCAGAGCAATGCTGAAGCTATTCTTCAGTCCATTTTTCATTCTACTTACTAAAGAGTCAATTCAGGAACAGCCTCAAGAGCCCTGGCCAGGAATGGTGGACAATAGTGGGAACTCATTGGTATGAGCTCCTGTGTTCAACCAGTAAAAGGATTTACATGCATTGTAACAAAACACTTAACACTTCCCATCACGCACTCTTTGCTGGAGAATAGCTAATTTTGAAAACATTCCCTTTAGTTTCAGCAGATCATTATCTAGTAGAGTTTATATACATAGAGCAGCAAGTGAATACAGAAATGAGGTATGGAATGGTCCCCTGGAACACAGGGAAGCAGACAAAATAAAAATCAGCTTTTTTTGTGCAAGCTAGCCTTCTGCTACAGCAGTTTCTCAATCTGGTGTCAATAAGATACCAGGAAGTGGCCTCGTATAACTGAAAACAATTTGATATAAAAGTTAAAAAGAATATATATATGCATACATATGCAAACAAGCAGACAACAAGAAATAAAAGTTTAAAGAAGCATTCAAAGCGTAGCCTAAGTTTTGTTTGGTCATAAAAGCAAAAAACTACAAAAACACTGCATAATACTTTTTTTTTTTTGTAACAAGTCAGGTAGCCTTTGGACTGAAAGGAGTTGAGAAACTTATCCTGAGAACAACTGAAAGAGAAAGATTTGCTACTTCATGCCACCCATTTGACCCTTCAGTTAGCAGCCACCGTTCATTACTTCCATTCATACAACTAGACAGCAACCTGCCCTCTCCAGAGTTACCAGTTTCCTCGATCAAAATTTCTAAAATCAGGCATTTATGAAACCCAAAGTAGAATATCAAGTGTCTGATTAGCTGCACACAGGTTTTACACGTGAGCAAGCACGTATAGAAGGGCAATGCAAGGGCTGGAAGCATAGGTGGTAAATCACAACACAGCTCTCCCTTCCCTGTTTAAGTTCTGTCAGCCAAATTTGGAGGGCTTATCTCCATTTTACAGAGGGTTGCTACTAACAACTCTTTCTTATATCAAGGTGCTAATCAGCTAAATTTATTAGACACACTTAAGCAGAGGGTGTCATAGAATTACTTATTATATTAGTAGCAGATTTTCTAGGAGAAAGGAGTCTGAAAGGAAGCAAAGCCTTCAGGAAAAATAGCTAAGATTTCTTGTCCATCATCACAGGTCACGGCCATGCAGAGCAGAGGTGATCCCACTCACAGGGAACTCAGAGAGCTGACTATTTTTGTACACAGATACCTCAGATTTCCCCCATGCAAAAATGAAGGCTCCACTACAAACTCCTGGGCCACGAATACTCAAGCAGCAATGTAAATATCATTCATCAGCATTTCCCCTTCCTTTCTGTCTTCTCAAGAAAAGCCTCAGGAATTATGGAAATGTCTTTCCCCCTTATTGTGTCAAACACATGCCTCTAATTCCAGAATTCAGTGTCCACATCAACCTCTCAGAAAGCTGGTGCATATTTCAACTACAGCTTCAAGTAGATTCCCTTCCTCACTTTTTTCTTTTAATTCTTACATAATTTGAAATCCCCTAGAAACAAGAAAAGAAAAACGGAAGTCCCACCAAAAAAAAAAAAACCAAACCAAACCAAACTTTCTTCCTATTAAGGGCTCTACATATTTTTGAGACAACTGTATGCAACTTGTTTGGGGGGGTTTTTTTGAGGAATTTAAAACCATGCATTTCTTATTTAGAAAGGAGCGATGCAAAGGAATCGGTCTATTTTATCTAACAAAGCTGATGGATACACAGATCTAGGTTCAATGTGGATAGGATGTCTGTATTTGTTACTAGGTACAAGAAAAGTAACCATATTTAGCTTCACTTTAATGAAGAGATAGTGCAATAGTGTCCTTCCTTCTCCCTCCTGACAATCCACTTGTAAATACAAGCTATCCAATGCCAAAACAAGACAAAACAAAATAATACACATACGATGATAAAATTAGATGTTGGAAAACAGGCTCCAACATTTTGGTTTTCTCCTTAAAAAAAAACAAAAAAATACCCACCACAGCTTTCTCAGTGCAGATGTCAAAAATGCATCCTGCACTGGCTGGTCTGGGTTATTTGGATTGGTTTTTTTTTCCTTTCAGTTGTTTTGGGTTTTTTTCCCCCCCTTTGTTTTTGAGGTATTGGGGGTAGTTACGGTTTGAGGCGGGGGGGGTCGTGGTTGGTCAGCTGGGGGTTTTTTTCCAGCTAAGTTTCAGATTGCTATTCAACACTTGGTGCTTTTCAAGATGAAGCAGGGAAGTAATGGCACAACTCAAAAATAGGTGAGGTTATCTAAGCTTTATTTAATAATAATTAAAAAGCACTAGCATTTCTGCATTCCCCTACAGCTGTAGACCTCTAACCGCTTCTCAAAATATCACAAAATACACAGCAGAAAAAACTCCAAGTTATCTCCTTCCAATGTCACACAGTAAGTCTGTGTGACAAAGAACTAACTTTAAGCCTAGTGCCCTGTTCTTTTAACTATGCTGTTAGATCATCAAGTGATTAATCAAGCGATTTCCCAAGTCTGGGAATACAAGGAACACATTCCATTTGCAAGTCAGCCACGGAGCCATAGTCCCAAACTGTAGCAAACACAATGAAGAGAGATGGAGCTACACACACTGAAGAAATAACAGGATTAGGAGAGAAAAGTCCATCGAGGAATGTTCCCAAAGACTACAGAGAAAGTCAAATCCTCACTAGGGCAGTTTCCCAGCTCACAATGGAAGATTGCTAAACTATCATTTTTCACACTCAGCTCTAACAAAGGGGTTGGAAGTGTAAAAATTCACACCCAAAAAGGTAACCCAACAAGTAATAACACATACAACTATTCTCCAGGAAACTTATACAAGGGCATTTTAGCTTCAGTACAAAACTGCCAAGTTTCCACAATTATCCTTCCTAATACAGGTGAAGAAAATCCCATCAGAATAAATTGCTTATCTTTTTGTTTTGCTTCTCATCTTCCTTGCACATTTCTCACCCTCTTAATAATGCTGGGTAAAAACTTGATCTTAGCATTTAAGCATTAAAAAAATGGTGTGCCACTCCACACACTACAGTCTCCCAATGGTCTTTTCACGCATTTTGTAGTTAGAACAAACTCATTCACATCTCAAATTCTGTTGAAAAGCAATCACCAAAGCTCCCCTCCTTTTGTATCAGTTCCACATGTCTTTAACTGATAAATTTCTCTCCATCAACCTGCACCAACCCACTAAAACTTGAAGATTGTGGGGGAAATCAGAATGGTTCTGTGCAAATTCTGTCTGCAACTGGCACAGCCCTCCCTACCAAGCCTACAGGCTGCACACACAGTTAAAGATTTACCACTAGAAGAAAAGGAGACAACCCCCTCCCTCCCCAGCCAACACACCTGGATTAGCTCCCTACAATCATTGCAAAACAGGCTCAAATGGGAGCAAAAGAAAAAAAAAAAAGTCAATACAAGTGACTTTGCAAAACTGGCTTTAATGTATTGGACATTATACTTTTTCTCTTCTCTCTTGATTGTGTTAAAGTGCTTTAACCCTGCAAAATAAAAAAGACAGCATTTGCATGTGCTGTCACAGGTGGGAATCAACAATCCCTGTCAGGACTGTCATTACTCAGGAGATTTAGATCCTCCTAGAATATTCACTGACAAGCTGCTGATCTCCAAAAAAGTTACATATGGCTGTGAAACTTTCAAGATGACTGAACCCGCATCATGATGCTAGAAATAAAAGCATTCCTGCTTTCACAGCATCATTTTTCTTTTGTTAAGATCATTAGATACTTTCTCTCAGTGTTCACCATACAAGCTTTGTCAAAGAAAGCCAAGTTTTCTAAATAAGGATGAGTAGATCAGACAGTTAGAGAAGCACCCTCACCAGCGTGGGGGTTAATCAGGTCAAGAACACTCCAGTCAGAGACAACTGTTTTATCTCTATAAGGCTCCTGAAGCAGATGGTAAATCTGTAATAGACATACCTGAACAAGCTCTCTCTTTGGTACAGTACGACATTTTTTCCACAAAGGCTGCTGCTCAATATCCAAATATCTTACATCAGTCCTGGACAGAAATATTCCAAAATAATTTATTTATAAGCATTATCCACATCAGGAGCATCACAGGCCTATCAAAAGCACACTCACACTGGATCCTGAATATAATCAAACCAAACCACTTTTACCTGCATAAAGCTTACCCACTTGTAACCTCTACTAGTTTTTCTTCCCCAACAGAGAGAAAAAATTACTATGCACAGAGCAGTAATTGCCAGTATGAAACTTCAGCCACTTTAAGAGAACTTTGGAGAACTGTATTACCCTGTTTCCCTCAGCTTAACCGTTACGAGCCTAGCATGTTATTTTCTTAATTCACCCAGGATCTCCCTCCATTTCTCGTTTGGCAACAAGTGCTGGCAGCATTTGCCTGCAAGTTTCTCGATCCCAGATCCAGCCGCACGCTCCTTCAAACTTCAGCGTTCGGAGCTGCTTCCTCCTTTCCATGCTGGATCTGCTTTTGGCTCGGGTCAGTAAGGAGGAGACGTGGCCTCCGTCCGGGACCGACCGTGACAGTGTGCCTACTGAACCGCTTCAGTTCTCCCCGCATGCTTTACCGTGCCCCTGGGTCCACTTCAGCGGGCGGGGGACAAGCAGACGAAAGAACGTCATTTCAGCACCCACAGACTCGCTCGGCCGCACCACTCCCGAGAGGAAAAGCTCTGGTTCGCCTCGCTTCCCCGCGTTAAGCCCCGGCAGAAGGGGCTCCCTGCCCAGGCTGACCTCCTCGCCGAGCCGCCGGGCGCTGCGAGGCGGCCGCCCGCCTTCCCGCCGGGGCAGGCAAACCCAGCGTCCCGGGGCGCCCACCAACGCTCCCCCCCTTATTCACCACTGAGGCCACCTTCGCCAGGGGAGGGGAACCACACACACACACACACCACCACGAAACGGGCACCGCCGAGGCCCGGCCGTAGCGAGACCGGCCCGCCACCCACCGCCCCGGGGCGGAGGAGGAGACGGCGGCGCCTTTTTACCTCAGGTTTTGGCGGGGGGAGCGGCCCCGACCCCACCCGAGGAGCCCTGTCAGCCTCCC